GTTTCGAGCTTTAGCCCTTCGTCGGAGCGAAGGGCTAAAGCTCCGACGAAGGGCTAAAGCTCGAAACGTCAGCTTTTGTAATCGTTACGGTGGCCAATTTACCATTTCAACTTTGTTGATACATCCAAATTATATTGACCAAGCTTGTTCGGTCAAGATGGCTAGATGTTGACCGAGCTTTTTTTTTGCGTTTTCATGAAACTAAGCCAGATACATCAAATACGCAGAAAAACAACAAGGCTAATATCCAACTATCTTGACCGACTAAGTCTGGTCAATAATGGATTCGTTACCAGGCGCGTAGCGTGGTCATTTTTTCAATTGCGCAAAAGTACATATGATCTAGAAACCTAAGTAAACTGGGCGAAAAATACTGCGTTCTTTATTTCTTGTTTAAAATAGTTGTCTGAATACAAGCAAAGAACAAGGCGTCTTGCCCTTATTTTGAGCAAACTTGGCGCAAAGACAACATTGTTTTCAACTTTTTCTGGTCACTTCAATTACGCACGTGCGTATATGCGTAGAGGACGCTACGCGCCTGGTTACAAAGCAAGGGTAAGAAAGTCAGCTGTGTTTGCGGCACAAAAATCCCTTAACTCGAGAGTCGCTTATGTTTTCTTTGTTTTGATTGATGGGCCCATCTTGCCCGCTCGGGTAGCCAATCAGAACAAAGGATTTGCCACATACTAAGTACCTAGGAGTGCTGCCACCCATATAATAATTGGTTTTGACCACTGCAAAGAGTCTTTAAAGCTGACGTTTCGAGCTTTAGCTCTCATCGGAGCGAATAGAGGAATTGTGGGTTGTGTGTTTACAGAAAATGGAGCTATGCAAAAATCGATTAGCTTAAACGAATACATTCTTCGATATCGTGGGGATTAAGAGCGCCGACTTAAAAGATAAATAGTTGATCTACAGTTTTGCGGCTTTCCAAACTACCTAGAAGTAGGGAAAACGACCTCAGACCACCATATGCTGCTTAGAATTATTTGGGAGATCAAACCTGACGGTGTGATGATTTTCGTGCTGCCCTTCCCCGCTCCCTAAAAAATTGAGAAACACACAACGTGGTATGCAAAAGACGTATTATAAATACAGTGCTGATAAAGTGTCCTACAAAAAGTTTAAAATCTGACGGAGTGAAGATAGTAGAATGTAATAAAATAAGTCTACAGTCTGTTGAAAAACAGAAACTCAAACGAGATAACTTCGACCTATCTACAAAGGTTTGTATCGGGGACTTTTGCATTCATCCTTGCTCTCCATTCCTCCTTCTAAGCGCGTTAACCTCAAGTACGTGGGCAGGTTTCCTGTCATTTATGAAATAACAGTTATTGCTTATTCTGCCGTCGATATTTGTGTCTCTTTTCAGGTTGGTACTTGTTCAATCTTGGAGCAACGATAATGGGTCTCCGTTGGCCGTGGTAAACAAGGCTTGTTTGAAGGAGAGTGTTGTAAGGGCCACCACCAACTCAACATCACTGTGGTAAGTTATCGCTGGAGCCTTGAGATGGGTCTAAGTTGATCACTCTGCTAAACCGGTTTTGGTCGGCCGATCTTTATTATCAAAAAAAAGAAATTCATGTCAGCGTTAAATTTTTGGGTACTTCAAACCAGTTATGGGCTGACCTTCTTGGGGGCCGATTACAAAATAAACAAAAGGTCAAAATAACTCAGTTTTGTCCAAAATCACGCAAGGAAGCAATTTTACCTGGTCCTGAGCTTTATCCTCTCGTTCACTTCCGTTTCCGGTGTGACGTCATTCCAAGTAAGACCATCATCTTTGGAGTATTCAACTTTAAGGCCGGGCAGCTCAGTTGTCACGTGCAGCTTATTGCAAGCAGCTTTGCAGACAATTCTAGAAAGAAATAGAGAGGACCGAATGAATGTTAGTGCATATGTCGTAACGATTATGTACAGATATACATTGAGCAGGTGACTCCTTTTCAAAAAGAAGTCGACAAATTCCGATCACAAGATTTATACGAACCTTGCTACGGGAGGTGGTACGCGGTACGGGACACCTATCTTATCGAGTCGAACCAGTTCCCTGTGGCCGAGCGTGTTGGCAAAGTTGACCCAGTCTTCATCTAGTTGCTTTTGCCTTTCTTCACCCCACAGGTCTTCCCAGGATCCTTTATGCCACGCGCGTTCAGCCGCAGCCAATAGTCGAGGAAAAATCATGCTGTGCATCTGGTCAGCGGTACGGATCAATTCACCCCACATTGTTCCTTCCAGTCCTACAAGTAAAACAAAGGCTGTCACAGTTGTTTGTTTCTTCATATGTTCTTAAATACTCCAGACAATGTGATCCCGTTCATGACTACGCATGCGTAGCATACCTTTGGGAAAGCTATCTCGCACGTGTGGGACATTCGAAAAACCAATGTTTTTGTCACTGACGAACTTGGAAACACTTTGAAGAATGGTTGTTTCCACAAGTTAAAGCTTCACTCTCAATTTTTCCATTACAGCACGATTCCGGCGCTCTTTACAAAAATAGAAAGAAAACTTTCGGCGAAAAGTCATTCAAAAAAAGTGAAACTAATTTATTGAAAGATCTCTTTGACGTACCTGGACCGAAGGGCGCAGCCAAAAAGGTATCCCCGAATGCAGGTGTCATCACCCCCCCCCCCCCAAACCCTTACCTCTTTATTCTACGAGTGAGGAATAATATTTAAGAACCTGATTACGTTCCAAAATGTCAGTAAGAATAAAGAAGAGGAACTCCCCCCTCCTCCTCCCCTCATGGAAAATTCTACATACGCTCTCGGCGCAATGAAATGGTGGCCTCCCGGTTAGCTCTATTGGTTAGAGCGCCGGATTGTGTTGTGCGAGAGGTCGAGGGTTCGGTCCCCGGCCGGACCGATACTCCTGGTCTTAAAATAAGTGAGGAGAATTTGCCACCTTTCTATAATAATAATAATAAAAAATGGATAGATATTCTAGTCTTCTCGGATAAGGACGAATAAACCGTAGGCCCCGTCTCCTATAGGGTTAGGGGTAGGAGACGTTAATTTCCCACGCACGAGATTACTGTGTAGTGGATGTCCTCCCCTGAGGTGGGATGGGTGGGAATTGGCCCTGAAAAGCCCCCATGGGGTGTGGTCAACTAACGTATGTATGCATGTATGCTCCGTTGTTGTCTTAGTTATCAGAGTCCAAGAAAATGGAAGTACTTTACCGAGAATGTTCTGATTGCCTGGCGGCGAGTATCCAAATGTCTTTCTGATGTCAGTATATTTTTCTGCCCAATTTAATCCCCGCTCATTGAAGTCATGTTCTTGTGAATGATCAAAGTAAAGAAATCTTGCTGGGGTTAACACGACCTGAGTAAAATAGATGAGATTTACTCAAGTTAAGGTAACCATAAAAATGGCTAGAATGTGCACATTGCTTCCAAGCTTTGTTAAATTGATTGTTAAGCAAAAAGCACACCAAACTGATTTTGGTAGTGTATAGTGAGTAAAGGGGGTAACTCAGCTGACAAAACCAAATTATCTTGATTTTAGTAGTTTCATGATAAAAGTTACCTGAAAAAAAAATACAGAACATTGCCTGAACAATGACAGATTTACTACCTTGTAACCTCCTCTTAAAAGTCTTGATATTGTCTCTTCTTCAAAATTAGCTCCCCAAAAATACGCCACAGCATTCTCATTCTTAATTATGGTTTTTTTCAACCCGATGGCCATGTTGCCGTCTGCAACGGTGGAAAATGAATCGCTCCAGCCCCCAATATTTAGACCGTGCTTGCGTGTGATACGGGAAACACCTTCCACAAAAACGTCCATTAAGTAGCGTTTGGTTAACCTATGTCCCATCTTCTGACACTCAGGGGAATTTACCCAGGCTCCATTTGGAACCTCGTCGCCTCCAAAGTGATAAAAAGTCAGCGGCTGTATGTCACTATGGAGACGAGATAAAGTTGATAATATGAAATCGAGAAATGTGTACGTGGAATTTATACAAGGATTAACGGTGTCATCACTAAAACCTTGAATGGTGGTATACGAAGATTTGTCATTGAAATCACTGAGAAGAAATCTATTCGCTTCTTTATCTTTCCCTTCTTGTACAAGTCGGTCAAAACGAGCTCTCATGCTTTTCACAGCAGCATGACTGTGGCCCGGTAAGTCGAACTCTGGAATCACTTGAATGTGGCGTCGTGCTGCGTGACGAAGTATTTCGCGATAGTCTTCAGTAGAGTAGAACCCAGTGCCCGAGGTGCTCGTGTCGACGCCTGAACCGAGTTGCGTCATGATGCATTTCTTCTCTTGCAAATCGAAGCATCTCCTTGACCCAATCTAGAACAGAATTCCAAAAATGATAATACTGATAGACAAGGCAAACTGATTGACGGACCGACAAACATCGGCAGAGACACAAATAGACTGATAGACCACGCCCATGGGCTGGCCATGGCCCCGACGTGTCGCTAATGACGAGCCTACCATGAAATCAGCGAGGACCATCCAGAAAGCAGCTGAAGTGCTGCAAAATACGTGCGGTGAGATTTTTGGAGTTACTGGAGCACCAGCCTGCTTGCAGGCCTCTATTACAAGCGCTTCGGCACGTGTGTCACTTCGCCCGTATAAGGCCTGGGGCAACGCGAGCCGGCAACAGGCCTCCAAAGGGTTTAACACTGACAATTGTTAGTGCCAGACCCCGACAAACCTCTCCCCAACTAGTCTCCAATCTTCCCGCTGGCAGAAGAACGCGCTTCACAGTAGGCTACAAAAGCATTAACCTCGTTCCCTCTTCCAAAGTAACTTATTTCACACAACATTGAGAAAAGTGCCAAATAAAACTACCTTACCGTTGTTAGCTCTTCGAGTCCAGGAATTTCCAGTCTCCATCCCTCGCTATCTGACAAATGAAAATGAAACTTGTTCATCTTATACATCGCCATGGCATCCAAAACCTTCATAATGTCCTGCTTAGATTTAAAATTACGAGCAACATCCACCATCAACCCGCGGTACGAAAAACGTGGAGAGTCTTTGATAGAAACCGCCGTAACTTCGCCCCTTTCGTTCATGAGTGCCAACAGAGTCTGAATACCGTAAAACACTCCGCTACTGCTTTGGCCAGTTATGGTGATCAATTCCTTGGAATCACCAACTTCAAGACTGTACGAATCGTTTGCAGTAGAGGGAGACTGATCCTGGTTTGATTCAAAAGCCACTGGTGCCAGGGTCAATAAAATGGTTTTTGAACTTGAGTCGATGGATGAAGATACTTTTAATCCAAGTTTATCTAGACAAAAAAAAGGAAAAAATATTTATTTGTATTATTATCACCATCACCACTTCAATAACATCTCTACCTGTCCTTGATGCTTAATTGCTGCACCTTCCAACTTGGATTTCATAAAAGTAGTATTGATTGACTGAGCATGGGAACTTTGCTAATTAGGCATAGAGAACTAAACGATGACCCAACTGTTTGTCTGTGTGTACCAGTATGTCAATGTGTCCGACTATTAAATTCTCAGTTCATTCTCTAACTGCTCTGACTATTTGTCTAACTGACTCAGACTATGGACAAACTGAGTTACTGAATAGCTGATTGATAGGCTGCCTGCAGCCTAACTGACTGACTGACTGACTGACTGACTACCTGCTTGACTGACTGACAGGCCTGACTAGCTGTCTGACTAGCTGACCAGCTGACTGAACTGACTGGCTGACTGAACTAACCAGCTGACTAGCTGTCTGATGACTGACTGGCTGAACTGACCTCCTTACTGACTGCCTGACTAACTGCCTGACTGCCTCGCTGACTGAACGACTGTCTGACTGACTGACTGACTAGCTGACTGGCTGACTGGCTGACTAGCTAACTGACTGACTGACTGACTAGCTGACTGGCTGACTTGCTGACTGGCTGACTGGCTAACTGACTGACTGACTAAATGACTGCCTGCTTGACTGACTGACTAGCCTCACTAGTTGTCCGACTAGCTGACTGGCTGACTGAACTGACTGGCTGACTGAACTAACCAGCCGACTAGCTGTCTGATGACTGACTGGCTGAACTGACTTCCTTGCTGAGTGCCTGACTAACTGCCTGACTGCCTCCCTGACTGACTGGCCGACTGAATGACTGCCTGACTGACTAGCTGACTGACTAACTGACTGACTGGCTGACTGACTGACTGCCAGCCTGTTTGACCGACTGACTGGCCTGACTAGCTGTCTGACTAGCTGACTGGCTGACTGAAATAACCACCTGACTAGCTGTCTGATAACTGACTGGCTGAATTGATTTCCTGACTTACTGCCTGACTGCCTGACTGCCTGTCTGACTGCCTGGCTGACTGACTGACTGACTGAATAACTGAATGACTGACTGACTGACTGAACTGACTAACTGTCTAACTTACTGGCCAACTGACAGAGCAACAGACTGGCTGAAAGACTGACTGAAAGACTGGCTGACTTACTGAGCTGACGGACTGATTAGCTGACAGCCTGATTGACTGACAGACCAACTGGCTGATTAGAGTTAATTTTAAAACATTTTACACTAAAAAAAAAACACCTGACAAAAATTGCAACTCATTCTGTAGCCCCTTGTCTCCAGACACTGTCCATTCCTTGTTAATAAACATAAACTGAGGATTCTCATCTCTTGATATTTTGGATGGCGAAGGAATGACAAGTAAAGGGGCATGTCCCAAATCCTTTGGACCATCAACACTATGGCGAACATTACTCAAAGGATCAGAAGTAGAAACAAAAGGGAGGTCTTCATTAGCTGTAGAAACTATTGTTCTTGGCTCTAGACCTTTAGAAGCAATGTACCAGTTTGGTGAGATTATATGACGAGACCAAAGATGAAGTGGCAGTGCTCTTATTGAGCATTTAAGAGAAGCTGCAGGCGAAAAAGGATTGTTATAATTAACTGGCTCCATCTTATACACATGTCCCACAACATGTTCAAAAGTGAGGGTGTTATGTTCCTCTACACCAACTTGTTGTAGATGTGGTATAAACCATGTGTTCAAAGAAAAGTATATAGTCCATCCACGGTTCCTGATAATTCTAGCACCTTTATTAGAAATTGTAATCACTGCTTCTGTCTTTGATAGAAATTCAACATGGACTTGAATGTGCTTGGCCATGAAGTCAATTTCTAGTTGGTTAATTCCCTCCAAGGAGTTTTTCCTCTCAGTATCCTCAGAGAAGCTAGTTCTTTCTTTGTTTATTTTGCTTGCAGTCTCTCAAGGGTTTTCCAGAAAAGGTTGAATCGAAGGGTTATCATGGGCCTCTGAGAAGTTAACACTTGTTAAAAATGCGGTCCACACAGATATCTTTGTAGATTGTTCTTGATCGTAATGCCCGTGACTGTCTGTTAGATGAAAATATTAGTAAAAAGAAAAAAGAAAACCACAAACAAAAATTGGGAAGGGGGTAAGGGAGGTTCTGAAGCCTCAGTGTATTACTAGGAAACTTTTTCCAAGCCAAAAATATTAACTATCATTATTGTTATCATTATTATTATCATCATTATTATTATTATTATTATTATCATCATCTTTTCATTGTTCATTCTACATATTTATTCTTACAATTGAAAAGACCTTTTTGAGTGAGAATATATGCTTTATGTGAAAAAATATCATCACTGACAATTTTCTTCATTAATCTTGAACTTGTAAAAAGGGAAGAAACACATATGAGAACGATCTTCACGGTGAGGAGCACAACTTAAGCAGTAGTGAAAATAACACCCGAAAAAATTCAGGCCTTTACGGGAATAAAACATTTTTTCGGGTCTTATTTTCACTGCTACTTAAGTACGTAGTGCTCCTCACTGTGAAGATCATTCTCATATGCATTTCTCTAACCGCAGTTCAGATATATGATTTTCATATATTCATAGCTGTTAAAAAGGGAAGAGATAAAATGCTGTAAAATATTTGACTTATTTACGAATAAACTATTATTAAATTAAAATTATTCATCGGTATATATCACACAAGTGAATAGTGCTTTTTGTGTGCACTAATTGGCTACTTAGGAGGCAATTGGCAAGAACACTATTCCCCTTCAAGCAGCCCAAGAGACAGAACTGCAAGTCAAGAGTTTAATTTCCAACCATTTTCATCACATTGAGAGAAATAAACTAATTATTTGGTATCTGTGTGGTATATACTCAAAACAGTTATTGACCTCACTGCCAGTGAAAGTGGTGGAGATTTACTGCCTGCTTTGTAGTGCAGTAAATATCCACCATTATTCACCTTTACTCTGTTGAATAATTCTAATTATTAATTATCAATAATATTATCTTTATCAAATTAATACCATTAATTTTTTTCAATATTTATCATATCATTATCATTATGTTCTCACTATATTATTGATTTCATCATCACTTTTACATTTTGCAAGAGTGTTGCGTGACACTTGATAGCTTAGTAACATCGTGTACTGTAGACATCCAAAACAAGAGGGTAACTGTATTCCCCAGTTGTAATACTCAATAAACCAGTATCTTGGAATATTTTATTTGACAAAAAAATCTTATTCCAACACTTGCTGCTTTTACAAATTAATAGTTGTACCTCATATAATTTTTTCCAAGCTCAATTCCTATGATCATTGTCCAGATTTTGGCACAGCACATAATCTAGCATGCTTGATAGTTAAGGGGAAAGATCTAACAAAATGTAAAGATCTAGTAGAATACAAACCCTATCCTTAATTATGCATACAGTTCTTAGATAAAATAATAACAACATTTCGAATGTAATTCTTTTCATTTTGACCAGATGTATCCAAGAGCCTACACGATCCTCGCTGGAAAACTGCAATTTAAGCAATCGCTGTAAAGAAGCCAAAAATATTAAGGCTCCGAAATGATTTGAACCAGAGTTAACTCTGTTTGAACCAATGCCTTCCAGGATCAGGAAATGGTTGGGCGATACATAAACTAAGCTTGAAGAGGCCTAAGGTTGGGAGCTAGGAAAATTTTAGTGGGTTCTCATTTAGCCAGGGATGTAATTCAGTTGCAGACATGATCTTCGCAGGATCATGTCTGCTCTTAAAAGATGAAATGAGGCATGAGTTTTTTCAGGCTTCTTTCATGCAACTGCTTAAAATACAATTTACTTGAGAGAATTACTGAACGAGCGACAAAATTTGAATACAACTTGAATAAAAGAGTTCAGGATTTGTATGGAATTATACGAGGATCTTTCTTCATATTGCTACAGTTGAGCTTTAGTTAAATGCTACTACGTACTTACTTTGCCTAATATGGTTCAACACAAACACCACTGCAAGTACGAAAACAATTTTAAGTGTCGTTTTAAGCAAGTGTCGGCGACCTCGTCTAGTGAAGAAAGCGGAATAACACATATCAGACATATAGATCTTGGCGTCTTGCGTTTCAACCCACTCTGTATCGACTGGATTATAAGCCAATACTTAGTTTCCCGAGCTAAAGCAGCCAACACGAACACATCTCGACACAAGTTACACACAGCACGCAAAGCTGAAACGGACAATTACGAATACGAAAGGTTATACTAAAGTTATGTTCACCATGTTCACCAATCATGTTCACCTGATTACAAAACAAGAGGAGTACTGGTAACGAGATTGCTGTTTATACCGATGCTCCATTTAGAGAGAAAGAGAAAACTGAAGAGAAAGACATAAGCACGGTGCTTTCTCTGCATTTCCGTTATGTTACTGCGAAGGATCTCCTTCTCATTTCTTTCAGGCTTCAATGATCGAAGTAAAGTCCTTTACGCTTAATTTCCTCTACAAACCATTACAAGTACATGCGACGATGACTTCGACAGATACCATGTACGTACTTTTCAAGTACACTTATTGACTGAATTTGGTCGGGCCGGACGGCAAAATATTTGGCTCGAGGTCATGACGTACAAACCGAACGCAGCAGAAAGATGAGAAATTTTCTGAAGCTGGAGCTCCTTAGGTAAACAATAGTCTCCATTTCTCGTGAAAACATGCAAGGGGGAAAATTCGCTCTGAGCTTCGAGAAACAGTTCCCCGTCCCCTAGAAATTTCTTATCGAGGCCATTCTTTTTAGGGGACCTTTTCTGAGAATTTCCAGATATTAAAATAATTCTGAATTATCTAGTAAATGAACCAGTAAGGATTTCGAGGTACAAGATAGCAAATAGTAATTGAAAACCAATGATAATACAAAGTGTTGTGTAAAACAAAAAAAACAAAAACAAAAACCACACACTAAAAAAAGAAATAGGAAGAGGAAAAAAGAAAGCAAAAGAAAAACAATTAATGGTTTAGCTTGCATTAACTAGTTTTTGTTTTGTGTGTGTGTGTGCGTGTGTGCGTGCGTGTGTGTGTGTGTGTGTGTGTGTGTGTGTGTGTGTGTTCTTTCTTTCAAATCAATTGATGCGAACTATTCTTTAGGAAAGAGATTATGTATCTTTTCAATTTCTGGATACTGGCATCATTCAGTCATTTTGTTAGAGCTCTCCTCTTCTTCATCTTCCGCCTAACCGTCAAGAATCAAGGGTCAATCAAAATAAATCACCTTGAATTAGGAACCATGACAGGCCGGATTAAGTCACACGCGCGTGTTTGCGTGCAGACGCGCGCGTACAAGGAAGTGTTTGCCCCGTGGCTCCACGATAAGATGGCGGTAAACGAAGGTGACGATCTAGCACCCCTAGAACCCAAGACAGTCAACGATGGAGCAATCGTGGAATTGTTACGGAGAAGATACAACCACCACCAAATTTATGTGAGTTCAACTTCCCAGTTGAAAAAGCTTAACTGAGTCTTTTTGGCGAACCTGCTGCCTGTTCGTTTTCATTTTGCAAATCTTGCGCGCAGTAACAAGTTGTGTAACTTCTGCTCATTGAAAATCTTTTGTTAAATCTTTACTTTTTCAGACTTCCGTTGCTGATATATTGCTCTCAGTGAATCCTTTTAAAGATCTATCCATCTATGGGCCAAAGGTAACCTAGCAATATTTAGATATTGATCGTTGTTGATTCCAAGCAAGGTGGCATTCATGTCATTTGTGCGCGCATCTTTAAATTCGTACCTCTGAAGTAGACAGTACTAGTTACTGTTGGTATTCAGTGCATAGCTCGAGTGATATGAATTATTTACTTACTGATGAAGAACGCAGATAGGGCGCTTAATTGCTGAAAAATTTACGCAGTTCAACCGATTTGACTTAAAAGAAGCAAATACGTACTACAGCTGTACGTGGTAGTTTATAGCGCGTAGAAGATTGATTTTTCGCATCATTGCTTCGCCTTGGTTTTTAATAGTTTTTGTTTGAGTAGCACAGATCGTAGATAACACAAATCTGTTTTGATTTTTAAGAGTTTAAAATTCTTTTTGTCGTCTATGCTTTTGGATTAGTGTCATATGCGTTACAATCAGCGTTGAAAACCTCTTAGACAGCGTTGTGTAAACACTAGGCATTTTTATGCAAAATCCTTAGCGAATTAATTTCTCCTTCTGAACACATCTACCGAAAGGCGATATTTCACGGTTCGTAGATCTCGAAATTTATCCTAGATTTATCACGTTTTGGCATTATATGTTATTACTCAAGCTAGAATTGATAACATATACAGCCGGCCCGGGCATTATGGCGCGTTTTTAGTGTCAAAATTCAAATCCTCCTGTCAGACTTGCTATTTTTCTATTCAAACTTCGTGTTTGACAATTCAGATACGCTATTTGTTTACTGAAACATCCATTGTTTCAATTCAAAGCAATATTTCTTCGATTCAGTCATGCGGTTTTTTTATTCAAACGTGCAATCCTTCGCTTTAAAAATGTTTTTCGACTACCCAAACATTCAGTCATTTAATTCAAACATGCTATTGAGCATTTTAAATTTTCAATCTCGCAATTCAAAATAGTCAGTTCCGCAAGTAAAAATGCTATCTTTCTATTCCAATATGCAATTCTTTAGG